TTTAATATTATAAAATTTATGATTTCACTTTAGTTTAATTTTAATTCATTTATATTGTGTATCTGCGTACTAGCAAATTTATATCTTTAATGTACAATATAAAAAGTTAACAATTTTGTGCAGGCCCATTTATTAAAGGAATTAAAATTTAATAAAATACTCACTTTTCGATAAAAAATTGAGATTATATAATTGTGATTGAACAGTAAATAATACAATACAACATGAATTCTTAATTTTCACATTGTTTTTTGCACAGTAGGCTTGTGTACTTTAGCATTATTTGTGATATTTACGCATGTAGAATTATTATTACGACAGAATTTAGTAAATTGTTCCTTTTGACTACATAAATGACAGCTTGTGCTGAAAGTCGAAAGTTTCAATGTTGAATATTGTGGATNGAAAGTCGAAATTTTCAATGTTGAATATTGTGGATTGAAACGTTTTTGTGGTCTATCTTTCAAATATTTTTTCCCTCGTATATTTGATAGTCTTATCCTATATTCTTCTTTAGCTGCTTGAATTGCTATTTTAAGTATTGAAGAATTCCGGGTTCTTATAAAATCTTTCAAATTTTCGAGTTCTACCATAAACACTTAGATTACTTGATTGTAATCAAGTAATCTAAGTTTTTAAAAATCAATNTTAATTGATTGTTCTATCGCATTGGCTACCTCTGAATATTTGTTTTACGTCTCTTGTTTTATTTTTTGATTTTGTAACTCTTTTATCTTCATTGTATATGATAGTAGTCCTCATTGGCAGTTGCTTTGTAGCTTAATACTCCAATTAAAGGTGTAAGACAAATGTGAAGTGCCATGCCTTACCGGACAATCGATTATGATTTGCGTGTAATAACCGTAGAATGGCCACTAATTCTACACATCAACTGTAAATTTTTATTTTTCCAAAAGGATATCCAGTTGCTCCACTCTCTTCCATAAAAAGAATTAGGAAGCAATCTCATTGCTTCCCACAACCCTAATTGCTTGTTTGAAAGAGGTGGATGATTTAGATTGGCGCCGAAAGAATTTGAATGGTTTTGTAAGTATTGTTCCATATATGATCAATGAGCAATTTTACTTTAATCAGAGGTATATTCATTTCTTTTTCTTTATTCATTTTATCACTGTTTGATTCGTTTACTTTACTATCACTAGACATATTGTCTTCTTCTGCCATTAAAGTCTTGATGAAATATCCAATTAGTAGGTGGATAAACACTAGCTCTTATTTTTCATGTCCCCGCTTGGTTTCTGAATCGTGCAGGGCTTTCGATAAGTTTACCTTCGTGGCAGTTTGACATGCACATGTTGTTTTGACATATGGACTATAGCTTTTTACTAACATGTACCAACACATAGATAGCGTTGTGGATGTAGAAACGACAGTCGAAATGGAAGGTAGTTTTACTTAGTAAGTACTGTTGTACTTTAAAGTGGATGTTGAAGTAGACGCTTACGTAGTAATGAACGTTGATATAGAAATGATTGAATAGTAGAGGTTGATGTCAATGTGGAAATGGACGCATACGTAGATATTAACGTATTAGGATTAATTAGGACTCACAATAGGAGTTTGAATAGGATTTGCTTTTGTGGTTAAATCTAATAATTCGTGTAATTAGGATTTTGAATGGTTTAGAAGGTTATCCTTAAGTTAAGTAAATTTTTAATATGCATAGAATTATATATTTACAGGCTTTTCCGTCATATCAAACATTCATTACTATTATATTAATATTTCCCTTATATCAATCTTTTTAATATCAAATTTTAGTTATAAAATCATTTTTATTTTAAGAAAAGTGAAAACTTGAAAAAAAACAAAAATTTATTAAATCTGCGTTATAATCGAGCATATAAAATTCTACAAGAATGCGCAAATACTTATTCCCTGGATGCACGATATTATATGAAAAGACTTAGTAATTAATATTTATATAATTTCCATTCAATATAAATAAATAAGCTAATAGTTTTACTGTGCTTTAGTGGTTTACGAGGAAAATCCAAAAGAAGGCCTGCAATACGAATTACGAAAATTGATAGAAAAAAGGATAATTGAAACTATGTCTGGTGATTATACTCTATATAAATTCGTTCGTGAAATAAAAGGATACATTTTTGGAGGCGAAGAGAATCCTTTCGCAAAGTATTGTTGTGTTATTTGTTACACGTATTTGGCTTTAGACGATTCAGTGATTTCTGTAAGTAAAAATAACTAATAAACTACCATAATTAAACAATCAATTAAAATGACAGTTTTTTAATTAATAAGTTATTTCAAATGGCTATAACTATCTGAAGAAAACAAATGTTATTTTTTAATAGGGACTAAAATTGTCCACATCAGCAGAAATTAATCTTGATCGAGTTATCAATTATTTATCAACCACAAATTTACCAAAAGCACAAGATGCATTTCATAATTGCATTGCTAATTTAAACATAAAACGTCTTGAAAAAATGAATTATGGTAAGACATTTAAGTAAAGTTGAAATCCTTACATATTTACTATAATTTAATGTACGTTGATCGACAAATTTGAAAAAAAACTCAATTTTTTTTGAAATTAACTATAATTGTAATTGAGCCACTATATTTTTACAAGGGAAAAAAATTACAAATAATTATAAAAATAATTTCAATGTCCTAATAAAATCCAAATACAAATGCTAAAAATATTTNATATTTGCAACATTATGACCTATTTAGTTTTGTAAAATATGTGAATTATTCTAGTAAATTTAGTATAAAATTGAAGCTGTCATGAAAACAATTCAACAATATTATAACGTTATAATTCAAGCCAACCAATATTATATTATAAATCTGTCAATTTCACTTAAATAAATAAATTAAATACTTATAATAATTTCTTATAAAAAAATTTCATCTAGCCACAAGTACTCTTTTTCTATATTATCGAATTACCTTGTTTTATGATCAATTAAAATCTTCTTTCAAAATAGTAATTGACGAGAAAAAAGTCAATTCATTTCGCATCACTTTTTATTTTAAATAATTATTTGTATTTTAAAGTTGCATTTATTTATTTTAAATAGTATTAATTTTTGAATAAGTTATTCACATGTATAATTAGTTTATCAATATTAATTTGTATTTTTACAGAAGAAATCAATAAAATTTTATATAAATTAAGAGATGATCTAATTTCTCGTAAAATTGAACCAAACGAAATGAGTCAAAAATTAGTTGAATTTTTAAAATTAGATAAATCTATTATTACCAAAAAGTTTAATGAGTGTTGTACAATTTTCCACTCAAGATTGTTTGCAGTAGAAAAACCCCAGGTAATAATTTTCGATCAAAATATTTATCAGTGTTATACTTAAATTATTAGACAAACATTTTTTTTTTTTAAACTATAAAAATTATATTATTTAATAATATGATATTATGATCCACTCCAGTTATATTGTAATTATTTTTTATAAGTTATTGTAATTAGGACTCATTTTCTTTGATATTCTCAGCCCTAGTAAATTTATTTGGCTGAAATACAATATAAAATGATGACAACTATTAAGAAATTAACATTTAGTGCTTCGCAAATCAATCTACTTTGATATGCATCTATATATCTATAAATTTCCCTTAAGTTTATAAGCAAATAGAGAGTAGTAAAGATTAAAGTTTTATTATTTAGTTAAGTATATTTTTTGATATGAATACAATTTTATATTTACAGGTTTTTCCGTCATATAAAACATTCATTAAACTATAATTTTAATATTTACCTTGTATTGGTCTTTTTAATATCACTTTTTAGTAATAAAACCTTTTTTATTTTAAGATAAGTGACAATTTGGAAACATTCAAAGAACTATTAAAGGTGCGTTTTTATGGAGCATATAAAATTCTGCAAGATTGCATAGATATGTATTCTCTTGTGGAACTTGATAAGAGTGAAATTAGTAATTAAAAATTATACAATTTCTATTGAATATAAATAGATAAGATAATAGTTTTACTATGCTTTAGATTTTTACGAGACTACCAAAAGTAATAGCAAGCAATACAACTCACAAAAAAGTACAATCAATATTATGATGAATATTAATTCTGTTGATTATACTGTTGATAGAGTTATAGATCAATTAAAATTCTCATATTTTGGAGATGTAGAAAAACCTTTTGCAATGTATTGTTGTGCTGTTCATTACACGTATTTGGTTTCAGATGATTCCAATTTAAAACAAAGTTTGGGAACTAGCGATAGATCACAATGAATTCTGAGGAAAATACATAATCTCTGGACTTTCCTCCCTCAATTGTTTTAGTTTATTAAAAATTTTTTTAATGATTTTTGACATGAGTCATAAATTATTATTTTCAAATAATAATTTAATTATGATCATTATAGATTTATTAATTATTTTACAATAAATAACTTTAATTATGAATATTTACAGCATGTTTAATAATAATTTAATAAATAAAAATTTAACGGGTTAAAACATTATTTTTAAGACGAAATTTTCAACGAATCTTATAACAAATTTCAAGTAACTAGTTTTACATTTTTCGTTAATTCTAAATTTTTAAACTCGATGCGAATCTAAGAAGATTTTGGTTTAACCATATATTGCGCAATTTTTTAAATCTGCTCATGAAACTCTTCATCTGTCACTTTTGTTAGTTAATTGTAAATAAAACTCAAGTTTTTACTAATTTAACCAATCAAACGGTTAAAAAAACCCACATTGACATTTATAAAATATCTTAAATTTAGGCTACTGTAAAAAATAGAATTTTCTTATATTTTTTTCTTCGTTTTCAAACATAATTATATATACTTTTTTGGAAAAACACATCTTAATAAAATTTTAATAGAATATAAAAAATACAATAAGTTTCTTATTGATATGCTTTATTTATAAAAATATAATAAAATCTAATGAAATCACAGTAACAGTTAGAAAAAGACCATCCATGTATGTAAACAATTTTTTCAACTCAATTTTATAAAACGTTCTGGAACGTCTTACAAATTTTAACTTATATTAAATTTAAGTTCTTGTATTATACTACAAAATTAATATAAAACGATCACACGATATAATTATGAAAAATTGGCTGTCAAATTAGTAGATTTTACAATTTAGTAATCGTAAAATTATATATATATACAAATTATTTTTAATTTAACAGATTAGCATCGAACCATTTTTTATGGTGTGATATTTACATCACAACATAAAATACTAACAAATATCATCTATACTTGTCCTCAGTGTAATTTAATTATTTCTATTATTTGCTGTTATTTACCTGTATGCGAATGGAAATAAATTTTATCATTACTCATGTTATAACTACAATATAATAAATCGTATAGTTTTAGCTGAAAAATACTTTTATTGAGAAACACTTTTTAATAATTGTTGTTAGAATAATTTAAAATTTTTTATTTATAACATAAACACATAACAATAAATATGCCACAAAAAATAAATTATACATAGTTATAAGTTTAATAATTTATTATTTGAATAATCCCTTTTTTCAAACAGTAAGATACCTAGGACTTCTATTAGACCGTCGTCTAACATGGGCCCCACACATAAAATTGAATAAGTTACAATTAAAAAATCGCTTACGCACAGTAAGCTCACTGCTATACAGAAACACACACACTAATCTTAACATCAAATTGATAATATATAAAGCTCTTCTAAAACCAATCTGGACCTACGGTCTCCAGCTCTGGGGCAGTACATAAAAATCAAACATACCAAAAATTCAAAGTTTTCAAAACATCTCCCTAAGAAAAATAATAAATGATCCTCCCTTTGTTTCCAATCTTACACTCCATAATAATCAAAAAATAGCAACATTACTCGATGAAGCAAAATGCTAAAAATTTCACTCAAAACTTCCTTCTCATTCTAATCCTCTAATAAAATAACTATCTACCTTGTCCATTTCAGGTCATCCCCTTAGGCGGCTTAATCGAAGATGGTGTCGTGACCTTCTATCTTAATCTAAAATTAACTTTACTTAAAACTTAAGAACTCAAAATAGGTAGTATCACTAATGGATGGCTTCTGCTCTCAAATAATTCATATCTAATTACTCTGTGCATATTTGCTTATTTTTCTAGTTAAGAACAGATTGTAAATTTTTTATAAAGATAAAAAAAAAAATTATTTGAAAAAAATCGTTGAGAAATGTGAAAAAATATATATTGAAATAAAAAAATATTGTACTGATCATAAACATTAATGTATCTTAAAATTTAGATATTAATATTTAAAAAAAAACGGTAGCACAGTGGGGTCGAGGCACAGTGTAGACAAGGCATAGATGGGACAAGTATAGATGATATTTGACAGTGATTTAAATCACTATCATAAGAAACGCTTCGATGCAAATCTGTAGATAGTATTTCATTTTAAAAAAAAATTTGTTAAAATAGCATATTTTTGAATACGGTAGCCGTTTGCGTATAGAAGATAGATCGTCGGGACAAATTTTTTGTTTTCATTTTGTAGTACATAAAATAAGCTTTAATTTGATATATGTTTAAAGGACGCAGTATTTCCGGAACATTTTCAAAAATTAAGTTGAAAAAGTTATTTTTTGTAAAAAAGTTACTATTTTAAATCCCCCCAGTGAACAGAATAAGTGGTAGATTTCCAAAAAAAATTATATCAAATGAAAGGGAAATATCTAAGGTTTTAATACAAAAAANAAAACTGATGTACACCTATTATTAAAATTTTTAGTTACAAAAAACATCTTACTAAAAATCTTACTTAAAAAAAATGTAATTATGCCATATTATATTTGAGTCTTGGATATGAACATTTATTTTTTTATATTATAGTTAAATTTTTATATATGATAATAATTTAAAAGTTCTTAGGCATTGTGTTTTTTTACAAACAGGAAATCGCTGACGAGATCCACTAACACTTGCAATATCTGTTAAATATTAATAAAAATATGTCTATAAAATAGATAGCCTTTGCTATCCATCATGTAATATACAGATTCGGGAAATTTGAAGAATATATGATTAGAAGATGTTTCATTTGGTACTACAATTATCTGTAAGCATCACGAAACTGATAATGTTGTAACTGAATTATACTACATCTTCGTTGAAAAATATGAAACTTGAAAAGAGTAGAATAAAAATAATTTGGGTTATGAACAATCTTTTTATTTTTCACATTCATTGGTGGGATTTCTTTCCTTTCCTTTTTTTTTGTCATTTTTGCGTTTTTGGTGATTTAGGCTATATGGTACATAACGTCTTTAGAAGGATCTAGTTGACCAGTTATTACAAAGATCATTGATTATATTATTTCGTGGGACAGCTGATCACCAGCGTCTTGCTTGACTCACCCCCTTCCCCACCCATCACGGCAAATCAAAGATCTCCGTGTCGGTTTTCATCCGTGTACAGTTCATTATCGTAAGTCAATTGTTTTTTGTGTCACTCTTTTCTGTTGCAAGCGCCTTCGCTTGAATAGTAAATTGTTCGGCCATTGTACGCCGTTATTCTTTTATTTGTTTATTGCGCCATTGTGCTCAAAGTTTACGTGCCTTTGCACGCCACTAGTGATTGAGCCCTGACCATCACTAAATATCTCCATTGTCGTAGTCTGTTTTCATCTGCCATTTTGTGCCTGGATCTACACTCTGACTCGCCTTACTCAGATGTTCGACACCATTACCACAAGATCTCATACAGTCCACTCATCATTATCAACAACTTCATCTATTCAGCTGAGTTTATACTATTTTTAATGTTATTTATTGTTTGTTTTAATTGAGATTAACTATTTTGTTTTATGCCGCTTCGCCGGTCACTAGTATTTAAGGACTAGTGAAGTTATGTTGGACTTAATCAAGTTCTATTTCTTCGTATGAGCTTATTTCTAAGCTATCAGTTATCTCACCATCATCATCTATTTTTTTCTCATCTGTCGTCGTCTCTAGCTCATTTACAAAATCTCCTTCTTCCTCTGTGTACTGTTTATTATTACTTTCAGTTTTAAATATATCGATTCTTTCTTGTGGGTTATTGGTAATCCTACCATCTATGTTAGTTTGGTCTTTTTGTTAGCAATATGTTAGACTTTATCAAAGTCTTTTTCACAGCGTAAGCTTAATTCTAAGCTATCAGTTATCATGCCATAATTATCTGTATTATTCTTTTTTATATTTATTTCATCTTTTACGTGTTCTTTATCTTTATCTAGTTTATTGGTCTTACCCAATGTATTTTTAATTATTATATCATTAGAAGTCTTTATTAATGCAGCTTTTTTTAAAAAAAAAAGATATTTTATGCTTTATTCCTTAAAACATTGTTTGTTTACTTGTTTGTTATTATAAATGGCCAGGTGGGTTAAATATAAATACATTTTTGAACGAAATGCATAACCTTTAATTTTCTATTTCTATTTAAACATTTAAACATTTTATATACTTGACGATTGGTATTGTCCAATCTAAAGTAATAACTACTATATATTTAAAAAAGAATAATGAATTTATTATTAACCCATTCATTAACATTTGTCCCACTTGACCTATGACTGTTGTTAGGTTGGGTGTATCCAATATAAATATTTTAGTTCATTAGATATTTTTACATTCAAATGAGTGTACAAGGGTTTTATGGCTTTTGAATGTCAAAAGCTCATGATTTTTCAATAATTTTGAAATTCTATATTTTAAGTTGTTTCGTTCGCAGACATATCTGTTGGACTAATTATTTGGATTGGTCTAAAAGTACGTTCTATCAATCTTTTTTGTTGACTAATTGGTTTGCATATATTGTTTTTTTCAGCAATTTTTATTAGCTCTTCAAATTTGAACACTATGTTAGTAACTTTACCGGAGTGTACACTTGACATTGTATTTAGTACACTTATAACTATTAAGTATGAAAATGTAAAACTAATTTTAATTAAACTATTAATAAAAAATTATATACAATATTAGTTATGTATATTAAAAAATGTAAGACACAAAAATTAATTATAAAATTAAGGTCTGCAGGTAATTTTCAGGTATTGATCTAATGTATATAAATATTTGTGTTTATCCATAGTAGCAAAATAGTTGTTTGTATATTGTTTATAAAATATAAAAATATATTAAGCATGTATATTAATTAAATATTATTATAATTCCATCAAAGGAATCATTTAAACTAAATCATTCAAATCATCAAACTAAAAATGTATTCACAAAATATATTCCACATGGAATTTGGTTTTTATTCAGGTTTTTTTTAAAACGATGATAACTTACACTACTAAATTTATTCTTCAATTTTATGATACAAGAAAATATATTTAACAAATTTAATTGGTCGCCATTGTTTTTGCATAACATTTCATAATTGTAAGTCAATACCTTAAAAATAAAAAACAAAAGAAATCTCCCACTCAAATATTTTTTTTTATTCAGCGACTGTATTTAACTGGTTAATATTATTGTCACCTTGTTTGTTAGCTAAAATATGCTTAATTAAATTATTTTATATTTCATAAGCTAGATAAATTATATTGTCATTTAAAAAATAAAGGTGATATCCAGTGGATAAGTTTTAAGGGATGATTCTAAAAAGCAATTAATAGCTAATATATTAAAAATTACGTGTAACTAAAAGGAATCAAACATTTATTTTTCAACATTATATTTATTTTACAAGTAGTGAGTGGTTTATGACAAACCGATCACCCTATAGTCTTCAATACACAATAAAGGATTTTAAAAAATATATATTTATTCTAATCTATAATATTTATTTCTTTCCTTGTAACACTAACAATATTAGAAAAAAAATTAGACCAACATATAAAATTGATAAAAAAACTATATCAGACTAGTAACATTAGGAAAAAAATTAAACTCCACATATAAAATATAAAAATAATTAAATCAGAAGACAATATTTATTTATTTCAGCGTTTCATTAGAAATATCAAGGTAAGAAACTAATTATTTCACCAAAAATATATAAGGTTTAGAATTAAATTTTATGAGTACATAGATTAAGTAGGCATACAGAAAATCAAGTGATCATCAATAATAATAAATATACCAAGTAAATTTAATAAATCGATAATGTTTGTGCAGAGCAACTTGGCAGAGTNTAAATCGATAATGTTTGTACAGAGCAACTTGGCAGAGTTATATCTTTGATACGTATCTGTTTTTGGAGTTAGGTTGGAGGTTCATATATAACCACCATACCACTCTTGGTAGACACACGAGGTGACTTAGTTCCACCTATATCATCGATGACCGTCGAAACTCGTGGCATTATTGATATTAATGAATTGACAATTAATCACAATAAACCTCTTATTAATATAATAAAGATCACTTTATTTTTCTATCGTCTTCTATTTTTCTTACAGACCCTCGTACTCATACACCGAGCAATATTATTAATACAATAAAAGTAATAGCTTAAACAACACACCAACCCCTTTTATAGTTGTTTTATTTAATTCAATCTTTTTGAGTTACTACATGAGCTTAGAATAACACAATTGTTTTTCTTTAAGATATGTCAGCTCTTTTTACTCTTATCTTAATAATAAAACACAATGTATAAAACCCTAAACTTATGTATAAAAATAAGCTATATTAACGTCATATAAAATATCAAATTGATTTGTATATTATTCGAATGTATAAATTCATATATTTTATGCCATTCTGTAAATTAACTTATATATTTTATGATTACTTGTCAATAAAATAATAACATTGCAAGAATGACGCAGTGATGACTGTTCGGGGACACTAAATACTATAAAAGGCAGTCAGTGCTGAGGGCTTGAGAGAGTCTGTCTCCAGATATTCGAGCTCTGTTATAATCGAACTCTCAACATCATCACGCATAATTTATAATCATCATAGTCAAATTTCACAAGTGTTAAAGTTGCAAACTGAATTGATTTGTTTTAATTATTGATTATGATATTATTAATAATGATATTGTAAGAAACAGGAAAATTATCAAGTAAGATTTTAAAAATCAATAAGAGTCTAAATTTATGTCATTTTATAACCCTCGGACAAGTCCCCGAAATAAAGTAACTCTTTTCTTTTACTCAACTCACTCACCTAGATATTATTTTCTCCCTTTTATTTTGTTTCGAGTTACGATACTAACTATTCCATTTCATCTTTAAACATCTCTCCCTATTTTATGAACTTATATTATTATTCTTTTTGGTTTATTACAAGTATGTTTTACATATCAACCACATACAACTTCCACGATCACAGTAATGGTTAACAAATCACAAGGTGTTGTAATAATTTATATTTAACTTTATTTGTACACGATAAATTTGAATTTAACAAATACAAAAAGTAAACAATATTTTTTCCATTTTCTAGTATATAAACCCATATTATACTTAATTTTTTTTCAAAATTAACTTAAATTACTGAAATTTAAAAGATACTTTGTACTATATTATTTACAATATCAAAATATATTTTTTATTTCATAAAAAAATTATAAGAAATTGTAAAATGCGTTGGCAAATTTATTTAGTTTTTGAGTTTTTTTGTGTTATTTCTTCGTTATGCAAACCAACACATAAAGATACAGTAAATTTCACATTCAAATTGTATTATTTTTATTTAAAAAAATGCAATTTAATAAAATTATTTTATGTGTTAGATGAATGATTCTTTTGATTTATTTCAAGATTACTGCAGAAAAGTACAACCTTTACTAGAACAAGAACTTAAAAAAACGAAAAATGATGTACGTTTAAAAAAAAAAATAATTGTACTATAAATTCATAAAGAAACACATTAGCTAGTCAATAATATTAAAATTCGTTAAATATGTATAAAATATTAATATTAATATAAAATTTACGAACAAGATAATGTATAATTATTTAATAAGATTCATTTTTTAAAATAATGCTTTAAAAACAATACTCTAAAACGTTTATTACCAGTTGCATACAATATTAACATTATAAATAATCTTTCAAGCAAATAAATGATATTATATTTTTTTATCAGATTAGAGAAGCTTTATTCAGAACGAATAATGAAATTTCTATTCAAGAAATAAGTACTGATGAGGTAAATATTATTATATCGAATTTTTAAACAAAACCTAATAATTTTATAAAATATAACTATTTAAAAAAAATCTACTTTTTCTTGATTAAAAATTCATAAGAGAAATTTATTCATCCACATTAAATTATTAAAAGTAGATGGGCGACCATCTTTTTTCAATTTCACCCATGAGTTTCTTAGCATAAAAATTAAAATATATATATAAATGTTAGATAAAATTAGATTTATAAAATCGGTATTTCAGAAAAATACCCCAGTATCGATGTATTTATACTTAAGATTTGAAAATTTCACCACTTTTTCTTTTTAAGGTCTCCTAACTTTTTTTAATAATTAACGATAGAATTTTACAATTAAATTGATAACTTGTCTTCAATATTGTTCAATATCAATATTATATTAAAAATATTTAAATATTAAATATTTTAAAAAGCTAAAAAATTATTAAAATTGGCGCGGGATACGTATTTCGGAATCAATGATACCATTATCAACACTAAACACATATTGACACCCCGAACGAAAACAACACTTACTTATATACCTCTAGATAATTAATAATAATTAATAATTGACGTTGACCCCACGGTATATAGCAAAGGCTAAGCACAAACGTTGATAGGCACCGAAAATAAGTAAGTACCATAGGGTGGTGTGGAACTCATATGTCAGGTGCGTGTAGGTGCAATGCAAGTAATGGTATATGAAACTAAACGGCAGAGAAGTGACTAGGGTAAAGTAAGGAAATATTAGCCCTACTCCAAATGATGAGCAACAATAAAAAACTTGGGAGATTTCTTCTCTTTAGCAGCATACCCTGAACTAGAATCCTACTCACTTCTGTCAACTTAAAAGGAATATATAAATATTTATAATATTATATAATAGGTATTTTACGAGCATAAATTTAAAACTGAGTATTTGTAGTTTTGATACGTTACAACTTTTCATGATTATTTTATTTTAATTAAAAAAGCAACAACATGGGTAAAAGTTGATACTGATGGATATGCAGAACACAATAACTATAGGCGAAACAAAGTTCATGTTATAACCACTAACGTCGAGCCATTTATTGTTATCTCACAAAAAGATAATAAATAAATACTGAATTACAAAAGAACCTACTAAATTGTACGGTTGTAACTGTGAGAGCTGTTTTAAAAATGATGGTTTGACCAATAGGTGAGTCCAGTGGAATAGTGTTTGTTAGGTGGCAAAACGGTCTGTACGGTAAGGTGTTACGAATATGGCTTCAATGTATATTAAATAATAAGTTCATCATAAACCATTCCATTACTTGCAAAATAGAAACAATATTGAAAAAAAAAGTTTTTATTTATATATATTTCTTGATTTATCCAGCTATTCGATTCTTTTTAATATCATCCATTATAAATTATAGGAGTGTAAACTTTATTTTTTCTAAAGGCAACATACATAAATTACTAGCTAATTTAATATATAATGTACTAATTAAGAAAACGACTGATCGATAACAATATTTGACGAATACTTCGGTAGTTATTGCCATTTTTAAATCTTGGTAAGAGGAAGAGTACAGTCAATCACTATAAAATGTCAAGAACATACAAAGTATTTGTCCAAATAATTATAGTTTTTTAATTTTACTCTGTCATTTCATTATTCTTAAGCAGACATTTACCAAGGGCTCGTTCATAATTTGGTACTGACAACTACTCGTATTCAATTCTATTATAACTCTCATATGTTAATGTTTTGCAATACTATCTGAGAACTTAAATATGTTCAGCGTCAGTATGGGTTAACCAGCTGTTAAACGCTTAGTACTGCGTTTGTAGTAAATACTTGCATTTCATATAAATTTCTACTTGTAAAAGATTTTAATTTTTTTTTTTTTCAAATATCAAGGGGTATGAGATACCTGAAAAAATAAAGCCAATGATTGAGCAAATTTTCCCAGATTCAACAGAGATTTATTTCATTAAAGATATCTTAAAAAACTTAAAAGAAATTAAAGACAAGAACACAAAAAAAATAATAAAGAAACTGGAAAAATTCAATGGTAATGAAGAAAATTTTAATTAATTAATATATAATGAGACATTGAAAATAGTTCGTTTTATATTTTATTTTAAACAAAAAGATTTAATACGATACGTCGTGAAATAATTAGTACAATGTTATCAAAAATGAAAATAAGAGTTGAATCAATATATTTTTTATTCTGTAAGGTTCTTAATCTGTTCCACGAAATATTTTTAACTATTTAATTTATAATTCATTATAAGTGATGAAATTATTCGACTGAAATATTTTATAAAATAGTGAAATATTGATATTTTATAGCTATTTAAAATTNTTATTCGACTGAAATATTTCATAAAATAGTGAAATATTGATATTTTATAGCTATTTAAAATTCCCTTTAGTATAAAGATTAAAATTTGGGGAATGTAATGCAAGTTGACGTCCTGAACTTAAGTTGAACCTATTAAAAAAAGTATTCATCACAATAACTTGTAACTTCGTAGAAACACTACTTGATATATTGAGATCAATTGGTAAAAATTGATTAATTAATATTTATTATTCATTAATTAATAATAAATTAGAAAAAAAAAACAGAATTCGTCAGATTTTAAAATACTGGTTCAAGTGTTGTTATTGACTAATTATTTTATTAGATCATTTTTTTATTTTTATACTGGTAAAAGAAAAAATTCTGCATTTGTTCATGAAAGCATACATTTTTTATTTTTGTTGTTTAATAATTTTGTTTTTTTTTTTTAGAAAATGAATATATAAGCCTTAGAAATTTTGTACAAATTTCGACTAATAAATATATTAAAGTTCCAAAACTATTGGTGGGTTTATTCAACAATTTCCTTAAAAGATTTCATTATTTAGATACGTCAAACACTGGATTAATATCTAAAAATGATTTTTCAAGTGTCTTAGAAGCAGTTCTCAAGAATAGAGATATCATAAAACATGTATTAAAACCTTTTGAAAGTGTAAAAAATCTGAATTATGATGGTGCATATTAAATATTAAATTAATATTTTCTTTAAATTAATACTATTTTATTTTATTTCAGCATGGTTAATGAAAAAAAGAAAAGTAGCATATGAATTGATTAATCCACCAAATAATATGATAGATGAGTATGAGGCAGATGAGTATGAGACAGATGAGTCTGACATAAATGAAATTGTGTTACATGAAGCACCTGACATGGATGAGATTGAGACAGATGAGTCTGAAATGGATGAATTTATGTTAGGTGAAGTACCCGATATAGATGAGTTTGACAAAGATGAGGACGATAAAGATGATGATAATTCTTCAAATTCATCATTTCAACATTTGTTTTCTAAAACTAAAGAAATTTTTAAGACTTTTAAACTCTAAAAAATAATAATGAAGAAATATTAATATGAATTCTTTTTTTTTTTTATTTTCATATTTGCTGCTTATTTGAATACTCAGTAAAAAAAGTTGTTTTGTATTTCAACATTTTTATACTTTTGTGGGAGATTACGTGGCAGAGTAATACTTAATTATAAAAATAATATAAACCGCAGGTCGCCTTCACTCAATATTTAAAAATGTTAATAACTTCCAAAATACTTGTTCATAATTTACCACGCACCAATTACAAACCGTTAACAATTGTTTTAGTTGGATTAATTTCTAACATTTAATCTATTTGAAAAAAAACGTTGATACCCTTATAAGATGTAAGGGATAGACTTGATAAATATTTAATTATTATTATGTTAACTTGCAACAATGTGCTCTACGACCACACTTTAAGCATATCTGTTGAAAAAGACATAAGTGTTAGTTAATTCTGCAAATCTACAAATTACGACGTCATAAAAAAAAATAATGAGCTACCTAATTCACATTAAAGGTTTATATCTAATTAACAATAAGTTATGTTTACAATTTTACTCTTAACATTTTTTTATCCAACCACCCGTTTATTTTTAAAATGTTTAAAAGTTTGAATTTAAAATAGAAATTCATCACTAATTTGATTTTTGTAATACTAAGGAGCAACAAAAATCTGTTTCAATGCGTCATTAATTATTTTTATGGTAATAACACTAGTCGTTATATAACGTATGATAGTAAAATTTTATTGAATATAATAGAATGTGTCTATTAATAGACATTAATACAGAAGTCATCAATGGCTTCTGTATATAAAACTGCAGAATAACAATAGACATTTGGCTTAAAAATACTTAACATTAACATGCTGAGTTAGACGAACGATTGATTGTATAAATAAAATTATAAGAACAAAATTCTTTTTCTATCATACTATTAATTTAAAATTAGTGGTACTCATTTAAGAAAATTAACGTTAAAGTTTTTTCCATTTTTAAAATTATGTTACTAAAAATAGTACAATTCTCCAGAACACAATTATGTCATAATACTTAACAATTTTAATAGTAACTAAACATTTTTTGGATAGATTATGTGCCTCATAAACTGCATTAAACCACATAACCGATAACAAAAGTTTTACCACCAACGTAGCGTCGTCTGTGCTGAGGTTGCTCAGAAAAAATTAATATAGTTTAAAAAAACTACAAAAACACGCTATTGAAGCACATCAAACTGAAAAGTAAAAAATTATTTTTCACTTTTTAGTTTCATATGCTAAAAAAAATATTTATTTTTGGTCGTGAACGGGATTATAACCCACGACCGGTGATTCTGGAGGTCATACAGGTGAAGCTATTAAAAACGTGTTAAAAACTGTTCAAAATTTAAAAAATCGCATTTATAAGACTTGATTTTTATAATAAACATGTTTATCCATTTTAAAATAATGTTATTTATGTACTAGTAAAATGATCTTTGTTCATGTCAAATATTTATTTACAAAATAATAGAATAAAGATTAAACAACATTAGAAGTACTAAGCATATGATATAGTATAAATGACTATTTTTTAAGTCTTAATTAAATTCATTCAACACTACATTATAATTGTTAAATCAACAAAGTATAGTAAAGGTTACTAGATTATTTTTTTATCATCCGGATCTTCTACGTTAATACTATAGGTAAACATTATCAAGTTAACTCCTATTAATTTTTACGGCAGAGTGTGTGGACTTCTTTAGTTGTATATATTTTAACGTTGTTCATAATATTTATATAATTTTCATCAATAATAATAAACCTACTAAGTTCCAAAAAAATATACAGTTTTATAAGGAATTTAATAAACAAATATACGACCTGATGCAACCTCATTAGTCGCCTCTTATGACTAACAGAGGGACCGTGGAAGTGTTCTTCCCCTTTCCTCCTGATACCTAGATTTATTAGTTTTTTGTTAGTGTTGCGAAAAATTCTGAGAGGTGAAATTGAACCTCCGAGCATCATTGGTTACTCAAACGATTACTTATTAAAGTAGCATTTTTGTAGAAAATATAATTTTTTAAGTTTTATTGAATTTGTAGTTGTATTATTAACTTTTTGATATATATGTTTAAAAAAATCTAGCACAGAGGGGTCGCGGCATAGTTGGATCAAGTATAATGATATCTGACAGTGATTAAAATCACTATCAAAAATAAACGCTTCTATGTAAATCTTTAGATTGTGTTTAATTTTAAAAAAATTGGTGGATTATTTCAAAAGCTACATGATCTGCTAGTTCCTTATTGATATCTTGATTAAGATAAAGTATGTCGAATGAAAAAGGGATTATTAAAAAAATATTATTTCTCATAAAAAAATTGTGTTGATCCATACACTTTTCAATAAGTTATAGCATTATAAAGTTAAAAATATAAAATATAAAATCGAGAATTTTTACACGAAAATAGCATTTGATGGCCATTTTCGCCGTGAAGACAAGTCCGGAGGTCAAATTTTTTTTTTTTTTTAATTAAAGTATATTACATGAGCTTTAATTTAAGGTATATACAAAAGTGTCAGACCTTCCGAAACATTTTCAAAAGTTAAGCTGAAAATGTTAATTTTTTGTGAAAAAGTTGTCATTTTAAAGCCCCCCCTGTGGGCAGATAAAGTGTCAGATTTACAAAAAAAATATACTAAATGATTAGTAAAGACATCAAGCATCTATATAAAAATAAATTATATTGATCCATACATCTTTCAAAAAGTTATAACATTATAAAGTTAAAAATATAAAAAAGAATTTTTTTACAAAAATCATATTTTTTTATTAAGTTTAATATCTGTTTTCACCATGAAGATAAAATAAAGTCCGAAATTTTTTTTTTTCATGATAAAGTATATTACATTAGCTTTAATTTAAGATATATATAAAAGTGTCAGACCCTTTCAAAAGCTAAGCTGAAAAANAGAGTCAGACACTTTCAAAAGCTAAGTTGAAAAAATTAATTTTTTTTAAAAAAGTTGTAATTTTAAATCCCCCCCTATGGGCAGGTAAAGGGTCAGATATAAAAAAAAAATATACCAAATGATAGGTAATGACATCATGCATCTATAAAAAAAAGAATTATATTGATATGTTTATTTTTTAAAAAATTAGGCAGTTTTTAGTAAAAAAAATTGAAAAAATTTCGAAAATTAGCCATTTTTAAATTTGTAATTTTTTCGGATGTTTCCCCCATTTACGGGGAACGAGGGAATTTTTTTCAATTTTTGAGGGTAATGTCTTCGACTAGATACGATTTGTGATCTTTTGACGTATCGTTGAAAGAAATCCGTTCGGTGAGAGCTGAGAAAAAGTGGTAACAGACACAAAAAAAAAAAAATAATAAACACATCTTAGTAAAACCAATACCTTCTCAGCTTCGCATCGAAGCTAAAAAAAACAAAAAGAACACATCATAGTAAAACCAATACCTTCTCAGCTTCGCATCGAAGCTAAAATACATATAAATGGGAAGTATATATAGTACCAAGATTAATATATTTAATTGTTAATTTCTATGTAAAATAATAAATTTAGGGGAACTTTTATATTGACTGTTTTTATAGAAAAAATAATAATTTATAAATTAACTTCTACACATATTATAGTAATAAAATTAGTCGGACGTCCCGACGAATTCGTTTTTGAGTATAATAAATTTATATTTTTTTAAATCATTTTCCTAGTTTAAAACATGAAATCAATGTACATTAAATTGTTGATTCGTCGTGTTGTTATTCTTAAATAATAACATATTTTCGTAGTTTTTCGATAGTAAATTTGATATTATTAATATTTATACCAATATAATTTATTTTTGATAAATTGAATAAAGTCGTGCAAATATTAAAAAAAACACAAAAATGATGTGTTTGGAAAATATAATGCAATAATGTAAAAACCAATTTAGTAAAAACAATAATAAATATATTTTGTATAAAAGCTTTCCTAATAATAGAAAAATAACTGGATTAATTATGTTCATGACTGGACATTAACTCGGTTAACAGTACAAAAAGCATTCAGTTAAATAATTCGTTAATTTTCAGAAATATAACTTTTAAGATATTTCAATTNCATTCAGTTAAATAATTCGTCAATTTTCAGAAATATAACTTTTAAGATATTTCAATTACTGTAATAACGTGTTAACTTCAAGTTCATTATTAAGTTCAATATTAAAAAAAAAGTTAAATTATTTATGCTTTTTTAATGTAACTAAGTTATATTAAAATTGAACAAGTAAAAAAAAATATACGAAAAACCTTTAATAACCTTTTTGGTTATTGATTGAGATGAGTGATAATATAGTGACTAAACAGTAGGGTGGATCAAATAAAGTCGATATTCGATATTTTAATGAGAACCATCTTAAATTTATTTTATACATTAAAATAGGCATTTTATGAAAATTTAAGATTTTTAAAAAGAATTTTACTAGTGGCACAACGTGTTTTTAGTATTTTTTCCGAAAATACTCCAAAAAACAAAAACCACCTCTGTTATTCAATTTTTGGTCAAATATTATGATTAGTATATCAAAATAGTTTGATTTTTACTGTAGAATACAAATTTTTTAGTTTCAAAATTTTAAGTCAAAAATTGATAGCGTGGATATCATAATTAATGTCATTATATGGTATATTTCTAGTAGGTCTCAAGTAAGCTTAACATTTTTTTAATTTTTTTTTTATGCAGTTTGGCTGATATTTATGTGTATTATAAGTACAAATATAAAAGTTCTTCACTAATCTTAATAACTTATACCTTTTATAATTAATCCATACACTAGAATATACGATATTCTTGAAAATATGAATAACTGACGATTGTCTTTACATACTTTTCAAATATTTTTTTTTTATTATCTTGTTGAAGTTGAATTAAAAAAAAAACATTAGTTTTTACCTTAAATACTAAGCCTTTTACAAATCCTTATCTTTAATATATGTTAAATTAAATAATATAATTTAAAAACTAAATTCATAAATATCAATATTACTTTTACATTTTAAAAAATGATCAAAATAACTAATACATTATCAGTTCCTGTTTATTTAAGTAAAATTATGACTATATACTATCGGTCAAAAATTTAGATACACTAGCTTTATTTTTGAGTTCTATACAATTTAGGTGATTATGAAAGCAAAAGGCGTTGGTGTTATAGGATAAATTTATACCCTTCATCGTTAATTGAATCACTAATAAAATGTATTTACTATAAATACCTGAAGTT